TCCCCAAGCCCTGAACTTCCTGGGAATGAGGCCTCCTGCAGTGAGAAGTCCCTTCATTTCCGAGGACAGGCTGGTTGTGGGGACAGGACACGCCATGACTATTATTCAATGTGTTCAGCTCCAGTTTATGAAAATCCAAGTTGGAGACAGAGAGAACACCTGCCGTGCTCAGATAATGTCCCTTGTGGCAGTGTCAGGTTCAGGGAGCCCTGAGGGGCCCTGTGGTGCCATCTGTGTCCTCCCAGGTACCTCTGTCTCCTTGGGCTGAGAGGCACACACGGGAGAGGCCCTGTCCCTAGTGAGGGGGGCTCCCCACCTCTATCTCCTCAGACTGAGCCGGCAGAGGCCCTGTCCCTAGAGAGGGGACCCCCCCCAATCTTATCTCTGCTGTCAGTGTAGCCCACACCCTGGAGGACCCTGATCACCAAGGGCTACAACAGGAGACACTCACTCAGACCTGGGCAACGCCTCAACTTTCCCAGATAGAGGCAGGGAGGTCACTGGGCCTCAACACCTGTGAAGGCTGGAGAGTGAGGTACACACAGACTTGAAGGTGGGGTCAGCCAGCTCTCAGGGAGACTCAGGAATCACGAGGCAGCTTGAGTCCCCCACATAACCACCCTCCTTCAACAAGACCCCAGTAGGCAGCAATGAGGTGACCAGAGGCTGGTGGTAGTGAGGACACAGTCAGGGACCTCCCGGGACAGTGAAGAGCTGACCTTGAAAGCAAAGGGCACGTGCATGAGGAAGAGGTCCACGTGGGCCAGTCCGAGTTTCTGCAGAGAACTTTCCAGGGCCGGTCGAACCAATTCTGGCCGAAAGCATGTACCCCAGACCTGCAGTGACCACAGACATTCAGAGTGAGGAATTGTGGGAAGATGGCTGACTAGAAGCAGCTTTCTCCAGAGGCTCCTGCCCACAGGGAGAGATATTAGACTCAAGTGGTTGGAAGCCAAGTGAGAGGAGCTCCACACTGAGAGGACGGTGTGAGGAACACGTCACCCAGGCTGAACCAAGCAGCAGGAACAAGAAAGTGGAAGAAAAACAACAGGTATGAGCCCAGCTCCCAGAGGAAGGGGACTCCTTGCCCCAAACTGGAGCTCCGAGGTGGGCGACCAGTCAGCCAGTGAACCGCATTCAAAGGTCTCCTGACCTTATCCCACAGGAGAGCAGTTGTTAAGTCCTAGTCCTCCTTCATTATTGAGCTTCTGCCAAGAGTCACAGCCCACAAACTGTTGTCATCAGCATCAGCCCGCACAGGGTCCCCTGCAGAGCCCCCAGCAACTTTGCACTGGAGCCAGGGACTTGTGCCCAGGAAACTTCAGCAAGTCCAGGGAACTCAGTGCTGAATTAGGAAGAGACGAGCTCGGTAGGCAGCTGCCTTCTGCGCGTAGCATCTCACCCCCTCGACACATCCTCAGAGAAGCTACTGAGGAATCAACGAGCAGACTCGCAGGGCCCTGCCCGGTCTGCCCAGCAGCCCCAGAGAGAAGGGTTATCCCTCTGGTCACACGGCCGAGTGATGTCTGATTCAGGGACGTGGAGGAACCGCTTTCCCCTTTAAGTCATTTCAGAGCAGAGCGAGCCTCTTCTGTTTCAGAAACGTGTCCCCACAGTTTACAAGGGATAGTATTTACTCAAACTGAGAGCACCTTTTTATTAAAATACCTTATCTGGGCTGGGCGGGGAGGCTCACGCCTGTAATCCCAGCACTCTGGGAGGCTGAAGTGGGAGGATTCCTTGAGCCCAGGAGTTTGAGACCAGCCTGAGTAAAAGACAGAACTGGTCTCTACTATAAATAGAAAAATTAGCCAGGAGTTGTAGTCCAGCTACTCAGCAAGCTGAGGGAGGAGGATCGCTTAAACCCAGGAGTTTGAAGTTGCTATGAGCTAAGCTGAGGCCATGGGACTCCAGCCTAGGAGGCAGAGTGAGATCATCTCCAAATAAGTAAATAAATGAATATGTAAATATATAAATATTTAAAAAATAAAAATACCATATCTGAACAGACGGTGGTCTGTGGTCCCTCCCCGCACGTGCTCACCTTGGTGGTGTAGAATATGTCCTCTCTCTTCACGGAACCATCAGCAATCTTCTCTCGAATGGCCGCTCCCACCTCCTCCTCATTTTGATAGAAGTATGCTGAGTCTATATGGCGGAAACCGACCTCAATCGCCACTGCGGTGGCCTCTCTGGCCTTGCTCTTAGGAGTCTGTAAAGGAGGAGAAGAGAGATGGGGTTTGCTCAGCAGCATTTCTGCCCGCGGTGTCTGCCACCTCTGTGCCCCTTGTTTGATGACACAGGTTTCAGTGACAGGCAGGTGCTCAGGGGACATCGAATAAACTCCAGCACTACTTCTCATCTGAAAGGCAACAGTGGAATGGGCTCCAGCATCCTGGAAAGTCAAGTCACACTCTGTACAAATCCACTCTGTGGGAAAGGCTGACAGAAACACTTTCCATCCCGGGAGAGACCTTGTAGACACTCAGCAGAGAGGGCAGGTCCACACACACACGGGCTGGTACACACACACACACACACGCAGGTCCACACACACACAGGCAGG